GCTTCCGTGAACATTCTTGTGTCGGGCGAACATATTTCACTTGGGTATCTAACCTAGAAATGGAATTCCTAGGTCAGAGGGTGTGCCTGTGTTCAACTTTAGTAGATCTGTCTTGCTTATCTTTAACTCCTGTTTACTTGTAGCCCATTTATGGCCCCTTTAGCCTCTTACTCTCTCATGACTTTTCAGCTTTGGTCACACTGTTCACAGCTTTACTCTCTGCATACTTATCAGTTCATTTTCCTGTGAGAGCTAGTGGTCTACTTTTCTGCCTACTGGGTGGAACCTGCTTAGCTTGACCACCTTATTGGTTGCTGTTTGCGTTTCTTGCCCCAGTGAGTTGTGGCTTAAAAGGGTGGTAACAGAACATGGCCGCTCTGGCACGTGATTGACATTCCTAGTATTCGAATAAAAGTAAAAAACAAGTAAAATAAGTTAAAGTAAAACATAGCAAAACATAGAAAAGGCAAGCCAAATAGTTTAAAACTCTGCTACAGTAATGAAAAAAAAAGAGCATTGGGATTCAGCAGGGACTTGGATTGCAAATGAGAATAGCCAACAGACCCTGTGCATGTGCAGGTGAAATTCCTAGGGAAGACCACCCATCTCTGCTGGCCAGGCCCAGGCAGATGGGCTGGAGCCCTGACCTCGGAAAGACGCTTGATGTTCCTGGGCAGGAGGGGTAAGTTGCATTTCTGTTTAGGTAAGATCGCTCTTTTGCTCCAGAGAAAATGTCCGATGTGTAAAACTTACAGGCTTGTTGTTTGTTGCAGAGGGGCTTAGGTCTGTCTAGAGCCATGTCCATCTGCTCCTCTCCCCTCTTCTCTCCTGCCCTTTGCAGTCGCACCACCACACCTAGCTCACTTAATTTTTTTGTCATTGTTTGTAAAGATAGGGTCTTACTATATTGCCCAAGCTGGACTCAAACTCCTGAGCTCAAACAGTCCTCCCACATCAGCCTCCCAAAGTGCTGAGATTATAGGTGTGAGTCACCACAAGTGGCCTTATTTTTTGTTTTGTTTTGTTTTTATTATGGAAAATTTCAAGCATGCCAGAAGTATAGAAAATTAAATAGAGTGACCCCTCATAAATCTTTTTTTTTTTTTTTTTTGAGATGAAATCTTGCTCTATTGCCTAGGCTGGAGTGCAGTGGCACGATCTCAGGTCACTGCAACCTCCGTCTCCCAGGTTCAAGTGATTCTCCTGCTTCAGCCTCCCGAGTAGCTGAGATTACAGGTGTGTGCCACCATGCCCAGATAAATTTTTTCTTTTTTTTTTTTTTGAGACGGAGTTTTGCTGTGTAGTCTTGGCTGGAGTGCAGTGGCTCAATCTCGGCTCACTGCAACCTCCGCCTCCCGGGTTCAAGTGATTCTTCTGTCTCAGCCTCCCGAGTAGCTGGGACTACAGGCACACGCCACCATGCTCGGCTAATTTTTGTATTTTTGGTAGGATGGGGTTTCACCATCTTGGTCAGGCTGGCCTGGTCTTGAGCTCCTGACCCTGTGATCCGCCTGTCTCGGCCTCCCAAAGTGCTGGGATTACAGGCATGTGCCACTGCGCCCGGCCAAGTTTTGTATTTGTAGTAGAGATGGATTTTCGCCATGTTGGCCAGGCTGGTCTCGAACTCCTGACCTCAGGTAATCTGCCTGCCTTGGCTTCCCAAAGTGCTGGGATGACAGGCCTGAGCCACCGCGCCCAGTGAACCCTCATAAATCCATCACCGAATTTCAGCAGTGATCAACATTTTACCATTTTCCCCACCACCATCTTTTTTGGGTATTTTGATATAAAATAGTGAAAATCGTGCTCTTATTTCAAAAAACAACATTGTGGAAAATATCTTAGAAAATGAGACACCTGTAACCTCACCCCTCAGAGCCGCTGTTAATTCCGTGTGTGTGTGTGTGTGTGTGTGTGTGTGTGTGTGTGTGTAGTTTTTAAGAACATTATTGTTGTTGTTGTTGTTGTTATTTTTTTTTTGAGATGGAGTCTCACTTTGTTGCCCAGCTGGAGTGTAGTGGCGCAGTCTCAGCTTACTGCAGCTTCCACCTCCCAAGTTGAAGTGATTCTCCTGTGTCAGCCTCTCGAGTGGCTGGGACTACAGGCACCTGCCACCCATTATTTTAAATATTTACAGTATATTCTGTTATACAGGTAAACCATATTAATCAAGTTCCCTATGGGGGCCATTTGGGTTATCGGCTTTACTGTGTTGATTAATGGTGCAATCATTAATCTTCGTATCATATGTACTTGAGCAAGTTTTTTTTTTTTTTAGACAGGGTCTCCCTCTGCCGCCCAGGCTAGTGTATAGTGGTGCAGTCCCTACTCACTGCAGCCTCAAACTCCTGGGCTCAAGCGATCCTCCCACTTCAGCCTCCTGGGTAGCTGGGATGACAGGCGTGTGCCATTGAGTCTGGCTAATTATTTTTTGTAGAGTTGGGGTCTATGTTGCCTAACTTGGCCTTGAGCTCCTGGGCTCAAGTGATCCTCACCTTGGCCTCCCAAAGTGCTGGGATTACAAGCGTGAGCCACTACGCCCAGCTGGAGGATGCACATCTTAAAGATTTAATAGGTGCTGCCAAATTGCCCTCCAAAGAGACTATGTCAGTTTATAATTTCAGCAGTAGTGAATGGAAATGTACAGGAGTATTTTATTTTATTTTATTTTTTGAGACGGAGTTTTGCTCTTGTCCCCCAAGCTGGAGTGCAGTGGTGCCATCTCGGCTCACTGCAACCTCTGCCTTCGGGGTTCAAGCAATTCTTCTTCCTCAGCCTCCCAAGTAGCTGGGATTACAGGTAGCTGGGATTACAGGTGTGCATCACCACACCCAGCTAATTTTTGTATTTTTAGGAGAGACGTGGTTTCACCATGTTGGCCAGGCTAGTCTCAAACTCCTGGCCTCAAGTGTTCTGCCCACTTGGGCCTCCCAAAGCGCTGGGATTATAGGCGTGAGCCACCACCCAGCCAGGGATATTTTAAAGTAAATCCTAACTATTATGTCATTTTCACCTGGAAATACTTCTATATTTTTTTGCTAACAGATAAGGACATTTTTTTGTGTTTTGACATAACCATGATCATTTCTGAAAAATGAATACCTTTTTACTGATGGTTTGTTCAAATCAGAACTCAGACAAGGCATTCAAAATGTGCATGTGGAAAGGAATACTGAAGAGGATGCCCACGTTCAGCGCTGCAATTTTGAAACCCTGTCAACTGGGGGCAATGGCTCATGCTAGCCACTTGGGAGGCTGAGGTAGAAGTTTAGGCTTGAGCCCAGGAGTTTGAGGCCAGCCTGGGCAACATAGCAAGATCCCATCTGCTTTGTGCAGATGCGGGTTTGGGGCCTGAAGTGAAGGCCTCTTTTACTCTAGTCTTGTTTCTGCTGCAGTCTAAGTGATGTTTGAAGATTTCTGGTCTGTTTGCTTCTGGTCAGCCCCACACCCAAGGTTCTGCTAGAGATCTCTCTCTCTAGTCTGCGTTTTTTTGTTTTTGTTTTTTTTTGAGATGGCGTCTCACTCTGTAGCCCAGGCTGGAGTGCAGTGGTGTGATCTTGACTTACTGCAACCTCCACCTCCCGGGTTCGAGCAATTCTCCTGCCCCACCTTCCCGAGTAGCTGGGACTACAGGTGTATGCCACCACACCTGGCTAATTTTTTGTATTTTTAGTGGAGACAGGGTTTCGGCATTTGGCCAAGCTGGTCTGGAACTCCTGACCTCAGGTGGGTGATCTGCCTGGCTCGGCCTCCTAAAGTGCAGGGATTACAGACTGAGCTACCACGTCTGGCCCCAAGCCTGCCTTATTTCTGTGCGGCCTCGCTCATATGCTTCTGGGTCTCAATTTACAGGAGCTTCCTTGAAGCTTTCTAAAACAAATGCCTGGAGGTTGTAACTGCCTTCCTGTGATCTCTGCTGCAAAGATGAGCCATTTGTGCAACGGAGAAGGCTCGCGGGCTATTCTTTGCCAATGTTTTTGCAATCTTACTCTCCTATTATTTGGGCTGTAGAAACTTTTACAACTGGTGAGACTTTTGCTCTCTAGACTTTACTTATTCTTTCCATTTCTGCTTAAAAAGTGGTATAGCCATTCTTGCCTGTACTTACCTTTGTCTTGAAATAGCTTGCTAAGGCAGTCAGTAGTAATTAGCATACTCCATCATTCTGACTCTTCCCACCACTTTCCTTAGGCCAGCAGGCTCCGCAGGCAGTGGATCTATGAAAGGCAGCAGTGACTACAGGCATTCCTTTAAGCGGGCAATATTTCATCATGATATATGCCAGGCTCTCTAGCATTTTGCCACCTGACCAATAAGCCAAACTCACATATTTTAGATTTTTGTTCACAGCAGCAGCCCACATCAAGGTGCTCATTTGTTGTCAGTCAGGGTTTGGTCAGGAAAATGGAAACTACCCTAGGTATTTCAAGCAGGAAGGCATTTAACATAGTGAACTAGAGGCTTACAAAACCATTATCAGGGCTGGGGGTGATGTGGTGGCAGCAGGACCAGGGAAAGTTACTGTTAGCTTTCAGAAAATTAGGAAGTAAAAGAATTGTAGGAAACTGTTGCAGATCAGCTGGGCCCTCTGTAGGACCAGGGAAGGTGAATTTCAGGAGAGTTCTTAGAGGCTGCTGGTGCAGTGTGACATTAGCCCAGAGCCTACGCCCACGCCCATGCCCACCCCTGCTGGAAGAATCCCATCTCTACTGCTCCTCTGCTTTCTGAATCTTGTAGGGTAGCTGAGCCTCTTCTCACTGGCCAGGATCCAGGTAAGGTGGTTCCTGCTATCCAAGGGAGGGCACAGACTGGGAGGAAATGATGCTTTGTTCCAACTTCCCCTAAAGTTGAGGGGACCACTAAACCTTACAAAGATAGGAGAAACAATTCTCAGTATATTGCTGTTAAATTAAGTTATAGATTAAAAGTTTGCTGTCTGGAAGTGAATACAAATATATGCATAAATAACATTTTATTTTTGTAATCATTTTTATTTATAGACTATAAAGCAATTGGCAAAATAGGAGAGGGAACGTTTTCTGAAGTTATGAAGATGCAAAACCTGAGAGATGGAAACTACTATGCATGTAAACAAATGAAGCAGCGCTTTGAAAGGTAGGCTGCCAGAGATGCACTTGGGACCAAACACACATCCAGGTTTCAATCAATAACGGAGACTTACTACTAGGAGGGAACTGTATTAATTTAATAAAGTGTAAGATACAGTCAGATTTCTTTGGACAGTGAGGGTTATGTGCTAATGTTATGTTTACCATACTGGAGTTTACTCATATCCAGTCTTACTGTAATATCAGTGATGAATGACCACAAAAAAGTTTTTAAGTTTCAAAAGTGTGTCTCACCTTAAACAGTGTGTATGTTCCTAAAAGTTATATATGTGTTGGATTTCTTTTTTTTTTTTTAATTACAAAAACAAAAAATGATATATCAACCAATCGAACAGGATAGAGAGCTTGGAAGTGAACCCTTTATGATCCATTTAATTTTTTTTTTTTTTTTTGAGGCAGAATCTCACTCTGTCTCCCAGGCTGGAGTGCAGTGGTGCAATCTTGGCTCACTGCAACCTCTGCCACCCCAGTTCAAGCGATTCTTGTGACTTAGCCTCCCAGTAGCTGCAACTGCAGGTGTGTGCCACCAAGCCCTGCTAATTATTATCTTTTTAAAGTATAGATCAGATGTTACCTTGTTGGCCAGGCTGGTCTTGAACTCCTTGGCCTCAACTGATCCGCCTGCCTTGGCCTCCCAAAGTGCTGGGATTGCAGGTGTGAGCCACCGTGCCCAGCACATTTATTTTGTTTGTTTTTGTTTTGTTTTGTTTTGTTTGAGACAGGGTCTCACCCTGTCATCCAGGCTGGAGTGCAATGACTCGATCTCAGCTCACTGCAGCCTCCACCTCCCAGGCTTAAGCGATCTTCCCACCTCAGTGTTCTGAGTAGCTGGGACCACAGGAGCAGACCACATGCCTGGCTAATTTTTGTGTTTTTTGTAGAGACGGGGTTTCACCCTGTTGCCCAGGCTAGTCTCGAACTCCTGACCTCAAGGTATCTGCCTGCCTCAGCCTCCCAAAGGGCTGGGATTACAGGCATGAGCCACTGTGCCTGGCCATGTGTTGGACTTCTGTAAATGCAACCTTAGTCTAAATGTAGTAGAGGTCCTTGCAATTTAACTGTGAATAAACTAATATATTAATATTATATTAATATAATGTAAGTGCAGGGATTATAGGCATGAGTCACCGTGCCCACCCTGAGCCATCACGCTCAGCCTGAGCCACTATACCCAGCCTTCATTTTTTGATTAATTAATTAGTTAACTTTAAAAATAGAGATGGGGTCTCACCGTGTTGCCCAAGCTGACCTCAAACTCCCGGGCTCAAGTGATCTTCCTGCCTCAGCCTCCCAAAGTGCTGGAATTATAGGTGTGAGCCACCCACCTGGCCAAGAACAGTAATTTCATCCTCATGACATCTGGATAGGGTAGTTATCCTTGTTTTGTACATGAGGATAGGTGCTTAGAGATGTGAGGTAATTTGACATTTTTTCTAGATCACTGGGTGGGCAGAGCCAGATGTGAACCCAGATTCTGCGAAGGCAAATCCTTGTTCTTCACTGCCCAATGCATATGGCAGTTTACCTGTCACTAGGAAGACTGAAGCCACCAGCTGTTCTGCTCCTTCTCTTCTGGCACTTCTTCCTCTCTCTGCATTCTGCATTCTCTGTGCTTCTTTCTTTCCCTGACTGCATCTTTACTTGTAAACCACTGATGAGAGAGAATTTGATGCACAGTGTACTGATGATCCCGTATCTAAAGAGCAGATAGCTGGGTGCTGTGGCTCACACCTGAAATTCCAGCTACTTGGGAGGCTGAGGCAGGAGGATTGCTTGAACGCAGGAGTTCAGAATCAGCCTGGGCAACATAGCAAGACCCCATCTCTACAAAAATTAAAAAAACAAGAACAGACTTCCTTAAACAGCCACCTTTGACCCAAAGTTGCTGGTACAGGACTTTGAACAGTAGGGTGTGATGCTTTTTGTTTTTTTTTTTTTGAGTCAGGGTCTCAGTCTGTCACCTAGGCTAGAGTGCAGTGGTGTGACCTCAGCTCACTACAACCTCTGCTTCTGGGGCTCAAACAATTCTCCAGCCTCAGCCTCCTGAGTAACTGGGACTATAGGCGTGAGCCACCAAATGCCTAGCTAATTTTTGTAATTTTTTTTTTTTTGAGACAGAGTCTCACATTGTCACCTAGGCTGGAGTGCAGTGGCATGATCTTGGCTCACTGCAACCTCTGCCTCCCAGGTTCAAGCAATTCCCCTGCCTCAGCCTCCCGAGTGCCTGGGACTACAGGCGTGCGTCACCGCACTCGACAAATTTTTACATTTTTTTTTTTTTTTTGAGACGGAGTCTCGCTCTGTCGCCCAGGCTGGAGTGCAGTGGCCGGATCTCAGCTCACTGCAAGCTCCGCCTCCCGGGTTTACGCCATTCTCCTGCCTCAGGCTCCCGAGTAACTGGGACTACAGGCGCCCGCCACTTCGCCCAGCTAGTTTTTTGTAATTTTTAGTAGAGTATGGTCTCGATCTCCTGACCTCGTGATCCGCCCGTCTCGGCCTCCCAAAGTACTGGGATTACAGGCTTGAGCCACCGCGCCCGGCCAAATTTTTACATTTTTAGTAGAGACGGGGTTTCATCATGTTGGCCAGCCTGGTCTCGGACTCCTGACCTCAAGTGATCTGCCCACCTTGGCCTCCCAAAGTGCAGGGATTACAGGTGTGAGCCACCGTGCCCAGCCTAATTTTTGTATTTTTGTAGAGACAGGGTCTCGCCATGTTGTGGCTGGTCTCGAACTCCTGAGCTCAAAGTGATCCACTTGCCTTGGCCTCCCAAAGTGCTAGGATTACAGTCCTGGGTCCAGCCTCTTTCAAATAAGTATAGAATGTTCTAAGCAGCAGTTCTCTAATGGGTCAAGAATGCTCAGTTTATTGAAGTTCCTTCTCATACCTCCTCAGCCCCTGGGAAGATTGTGCGGTTACCTAAGGGACATGGTTTCCCAGTGAAGCACATCCTGAGTCTGCCATCTGCCAGAGTCCTCACACACTAAAAGTGCCTGGTCCACCTGAATCTTGTCTTCCTTGTCATGAGTGCTTGAGGACTAAGCAAGGGAATGAACAGAAAACTAACAAGGTGGGGCATATGGTAAATGTGCAGTGGATGGTGGCCTTCCTTACTGTATGCACAATCATTTGCTGTATTTCAGAAACAATTTATGTTCTTTGCCTTTAACTTCAAAAGCAGTTGATTAGAACACATGCCATAGGTTGGCCCGGCATGGTGGCTCATGCCTTGTAATCCCAGCACGTTGGAAGGCCAAGGTGGGAGAATCGCTTGGGCCCAGGAGTTTGAGACCAGCCTGGGCAGCAAAGGGAAACTCTGTCTCTACAAAAAAATAAAAAAAATCAACCGGGCGTGGTAGTGTGTGCCTGTGGTCTCAGCTACTTGGGAGGCTGAAGTGGGAGGATCTCTTGAATCCAGGAAGGAGGTGAAGCTACAGTGAGGTGTGTTTGTGCCACTGAACTCCAGCCTGGGCGACAGATTGAGACCCTGTCTCACTCTGCCTTCCTCGACAAGGAAGCCAAAATTCCGCTGGACCAGGCACTTTTGGTGTGTAAGGGATTTGGCAGAAAGCAGATCCAGGATGTGCCTCACCACCAGGAAACCATGTCCGTTAGGTAACTGCACACACACACAAATCCGTTTCTGCTTACTTATCATTGTGTAAATGAATCCTCAGAGTCGCCTTGCACAGCTGTGTGGGTGGTGTGAGGAATGTGAAGCATTAGTAGCAGAAAGTCGCACTGAGTCACTTGGGCAGCACGAGGTTGGTATTTGGAGCGTCTGACCCCTACCCCTTCCAGTGTTACTTCTGCTCCTTTCCTCTGCTTTAATTCAAATAGAAATGGATAGCTTTTGCAGTAATCTTAGTTAATGTGAAGTTAAAGAAAGGTAAAGGTAAAAAAAATACACATAATGGATTAGTACTGTGGCAGGGAGGGCACTTTCACTCCTGAGCGTTGTTTGCCTTTTGAGTCGCTCAAGGCCTTAGTTAGGAATAAGAAGGTTAGTTACTTGCCTGAGGCCTCAACAGAACTGAGTCCTTTTGGTGTCTTTTCTGGTATCTCCTCAGAATTTTCCTCCACCAACACTCCCCAAAAGTACACAATGAAGAATAGGCTCTCTTTGGGCACAGTGGCTGACACCTGTAATCCCAGCACTTTGGGAGGCCAAGGTGGGCGGATCAGTTGAGCCTGGAAGTTCAAGACCAGCCTGGGCAACATGCCAAAACCCCGTTCTACCAAAAAAAGAAATAAAAAAATTAGCTGGGCATTGGTGGTGCCTGTAGTGCTGGCTACTCAGGAGAGTGAAGTGGGGAGATTGCTTGAGTCCTGGAGGTTGAGGTTGCAGTGAGCCATGATTGTGCCACTGCACTCCAGCCTGGGCAATAGAGCAAGACTCTGTCTCAAAAACAACAACAAAAAATGGTTCTCTTTTGCTATGCTTTTAGTCTATATTTTTCCTATAGAAATAGAAGAAATGGAGTGAGTCTCTTAAAAAAAAAAACGTAGTCTTGGTATTTGCGGGATCTCCCTTTGTGCCCCGAGGCAGTGACATTGGCACAAGTCTGCTAAACCTGGGGTTCAGCATAGTGTAACTAGGTCCGACTCTAAAGGTCAGAACTAGCAGCTCTTCCACTTTAGTTAATGCGATCTTGAACAATTCCATAATTTCTCCGTGCCTCTGTTTATTTATACAATGGGGATAACCACAGTTATTCTACCCCATAAGGTTGTTGTGAGGGTCAAATTAAATAATGCAGATGAAGCACTTAGTGCAGTGCTGGCATACCGTAAAAAGCAACTTGTTGTGTAAATCAGTTTTTCCATAACAGATAATACAAGTTAGAAGAGCTTGAAGACTATTTTGGAGATGGAAGTGAGATGATAATAATAGTAAGATTACCGCAGTTGTTCACTACATATCTGGTGTCATGAACAGTACTAGGTGAATTATATGCATGTCATTGAATCCTGACTGGGGCCCTG